AAGACTACAGTTTGCCAAAATGTACTTGAGTAAGCCAAAAGCCTTCTGGGAAAACGTCTTGTGGACAGATGAGACCAAGATAGAGCTTTTCGGTAAAGCACATCATTCTACTGTTTACCTTTACGGAAATGAGGCCTACAAAGAACAAAACACAGTACCTACGGTAAAATATGGTGGAGGTTCAATGATGTTTTGGGGTTGTTTTGCTGCCTCTGGCACTGGGTGCCTTGACTGTGTGCAAGGCATCATGAAATCTGAGGATTACCAAAGGATTTTGGGTCGCACTGTAGGGCCCAGTGTCAGAAAGCTGGGTTTGCGTCCAAGATCCTGGGTCTTCCAGCAGGACAATGACCCCAAATACGTCAAAAAGCACTCAGAAATGGATGGCAAAGAAGCGCTGGAGAGTTCTGAAGTGGCCAGCAATAGAGCCCAGATCTAAATCCCATTGAACACCTGTGGAGAGATCTTAAAAATTGCTGTTGGGAAAAGGTGTCCTTCCAATAAGAGAGACCTGGAGCTGTTTGCAAAGGAAGAGTGGTCCAAAATTCCGGGTGAGAGGTGTCAGAAGCTTATTGATGGTTATAGGAAGCGACTGATTTCAGTTTATGTTTTCCAAAGGGTGTGCAACCAAATATTAAGTTAAGGGTGCCAATACTTTTGTCCAGCCCATTTTTGGGGTTTTGTGTGACATTATGTCATATTTGCTTTTCTCAGCCTCTGTTTTATATTTGTTCCAATACATACAAAGGGAATAAACATGTGTATAGCAAAACAGTGTTAATGCAATACCTTTTTTGTGTGAAATACTTGATTTTCAGGAAAAATATCAAGGGTGCCCAACAATTTCGGCCATGACTGTATATGGTGGGTGGGAGGTGGTTACACACCCCTTTATGTTAGTCTATGTGTCCATGCACACATAGGTGTTCAGAAAAGTTGAGGCAGAAAAAAACAAAACAAAAGCACCAAAGTCATATTCAGCGGAAGAGCTTTTCAGCGTAACAAAAAACACCTAAACATGCAATACTGCTGGATGCATTTAGCACTTAAGTGTTCATTCATTTTATTGGCCAGAATACATTTTCTGTACAATGAAGTGAATGAACCCCTAAGTGCCTGACGAGCCTAAATGCATTTGCAAAAATGTAGCTTTAGACACATTTTGAAGCCGATTTTCTCCTTCCAGCAAAAAAGTTGTTCAGAAGAGCCCAGTTGACATGCGGTCTCATTGAACTTATCTGGCAGTGGTGGGCTTCAAGACAAAAATGATGAGCAAACAGCAAGTGGGCTGGACTTTGACATGCCAAGAAAGTGCCATACTTTTCATTGGAGAGTGCTGGGGTTCTTGTAATCCTGTTCAGCCACTTCTATGTGTTTGCGCTGTATTGCTATTGTTCAGCTAATAGGTCTTAACAGATGGACTCTAAAATTCAGTTTTCTTTGACAAAATCATTTATGATTTATATAACAGTTGAGGGCAGAAATGTATATTTGCTCAAAGTATCAGGCAATAGCTATTATATTCAAGACCGGCATTACGTAAAAATATGACAACTGGAACCACTGCATGCCCCCAGCATGACCTGGACGTGAATGCACTGTAATCTCTGTAAACCGGTTCAGTCATCTTGGCTACATACCTCAGGGAGGCCTACTTAGAGTATGTAAAATGACTGATGACTAATACCAGATGCCAAATTTATGTGAGAATATAAACGCAGAGCTGGTCGGAAACATATGCCCGAGATTTTAATTATCTGTACCTCCAGCACAGAATGTGTACATGCAAACTGTTACATGGCGTTCAAGGCTGTGCATGAAGGAGGAATATTGTAATGCTTTTAAAATACTTAGCAAGCAGAAATTGCAGGCTCCAACTCAAATAGCTGAATTTCAATGGCTTGAAAAGCCTTTGGCATTCTGAAAATGTTTATAAAATTTCCAAAATATTTGGGAAAATCAGAAACATATGGCTCAACACGTTCATACTGAAAAGGGAAACCTTTTCTTTTTAAACAAAGGTATTAGGCTAAAATGTAAATGGAGCCCATCTGCTGTGAGTCATAACTCAGAAATAAAAGGTTGGCCTTGTGGTAATCGGCTGTTAGATGCACTATAGGCGTTTCTGTCCAACGCCTGCACTCAGCATGTTTACATTACATAAACGGAATCAATCTTCAGTGAAATCATCACCATCCCCCAATACTGATGAAAGAAAGAAACGTGTTTACTGATACTGTAAATAAGAAAAAAAACAGTACCACGTGACTGCCAGGTATCAGAATATACGTGATCTAACTCTTTGCACGGACCAGATAGACTTATCATGGAGTTTAGTTAACATCTAATGCCAGGAAGTTTAATCTTTCCAAGGTGTCTTTTTGACCTGATAGTTACAATTATTTTAATGCAGATCTGTCACATAACAGTGCTGTAGGGCATGCTAATACTTTATAGAACTTACATTGCTATAGTGGCTAACAGTAGAAAAACAGTGCGATACATTGCAATTCTGCATCAGAGAGTTGTAGAGCTGTTTTTGTATTACATTTAAAAATTTACTTAGTCGTTTGCAGAGTCGGCCAAAACATTTTATTAAAAAAAATTGCTTAACAAAAGTCTCAGCATTCACTCAGTGGTTGAGAATAATCCTTGCAATGTGTCTACTATGTTTACTTCCTATGATTGTCTACTCCATCTAGTGGCCATAATGTGGTATTTTCACTCAAGAAAATACTACATTATGGCCACTAGGTGGAGTTGACAATGATAAGAAATAAAAATATTAGACACATCACAAATATTCGTGATGGCTGCGTGCATGCTGATGCATTCACACAGCAAAGTATTTATAAGTAGACCCTATTATATTACGTAATTAGTGTCCATGTGCTCTTTTTACTGTGACAACTTCTCTTTACATCCAAACTCCAGAGGGAGAGCTATCTGCACAGGTGAAATATTGATCTCTATTTTTTTATGCAAAAGGATTTGTAACTGTCTGCAGCTAGTCTTGTGACCCAGGCCAGACAGTGTAGCCGGGTCTCTACTTCAGCTACAGCAGAACCTGGGCACACTCCCAGCTTTCTGAATTGACAATGAGAGAGAAAACCGCACTCTAATAAGTCATCTTGCTACTGACTCTACCTCCTGTGAGAACATTTTTGCAAAATCTTGGTTGGTTGCTATTGCTGGCCCTTCTTCTCCATGTCACTGCTTCTATACATAAGATCACAGAAGAATGATATCACCACAGTTTCAGATATTTACACCAGGTGCACTTATAAATAATTCATTGTTTTTTTTCCTTTAAAAATTAACTCCATCTCTCCCTTTTAGTTCCTTAAGAGACTCATTACACATACCATTTGTCCTTCAGCCTTCCTCCTCAGCAGTGGTGGGAGCAGTGCTTACTTCTGGACAGTACTATGCTCCTATACTCACATGGGAGGGCCCCGCTGTTCACGAGTCAAGGCCAGCATGGCATTCACCCAGGAGGCAGGTCCATGAGAGCCTGGGCTCCCTGAAGGTGAATTCAATGTAATATGACATTAATTCCAGAGGACTGGCGGCATCCTATATAGAAGTGGTTGTACAGAGCCACAGCATCAGATTGTAGGCATTTTAGATAATGCTAATTTTTTTAGGGCCTTTGTTTTTTGTTTTAAACAAAATTGAAGTTTGACGTTAAAGCTTCTTTGGCCCTACATCTCCTGTAGATTACAGGAGAGCACTTAGTTCTGCACTCCTGTGATCCATTTTCAGTCAACAGTGGGCTGAAGTCTGCTATTCGCTGATGTCAATCCAGGCTCTGGAGAGATTCCGACTTTAAAGTTGAGATCCACCCAGATTCCTCACCTGCAGCTGGCTCTGCCTCTAAGCAAGCTGCTGAGAGCCTGAGTCAGCTGCCTTCTCCACAGCCCGATGCTCCACTGAGTGCTGGAGGAGCAGAGGAGAGAGCCAGTGACTCACTGAAGACTGAACTGAGCAGCCAGTGGTCTTTTATTGCTCAGATCTCTTAGACGCAGCTGAGGGGACTGATGCTGCGTCCACATAGGTAGGTATAATGGTGTTGTCTTTTTTCATTCCCATACTTCTCTTTTAAATCTGCCTAGATTTAAAAGTTTTAAATCTCCAACTCTACCAATAATCCCAAGGAACAAGGAAAGTTATCCATTCATAGATGTAATATTTTCACCATATTTGTGTCCACAGAATACCACACATGCAAGAACATAGGTTCCTACACACAGACAACTAGAGTTTTGCTCAAAGGTTTGCATACCTGTGGAGAATTGGTAAGAGTATATTTTGCCTACTCACTCACATTTTCTTAAAAAATGGTTTGCCTTTCTTTTATTTCTTATAAGGTTCATATTCAACTGTAAGTCATAATAGAATTGCACAATCATGAACTAAAACATGGCAAGAAATATATTTCTTCAAATATATTAATAGTAAAAAGGTCCGGTCTGAGCACGTAGGCCCTTTACAAAATAATCTAGAGTGCGTGAGTGGGGACAAAGAAGGCAAATTTATTAAATACCTTCTTCAGCTCAGTGTATACAAAGGAGCATGGGGGAGCTCTTGTCCATAATAGGCATGGTATTGACACAGCTCCAGATGATCCACATTGGCTCACAACTGATATGATCCAAAAATATTTAGACAGAATAAAGGTGAATAAAGCACCTGGACCGGATGGCATACACCCGCGGGTCCTTAAAGAATTGAGATCTGTTGAGAACTGAGAATTGAGAACAAAGCCATTGTTTCTCATTTTTAGGGATTCTTTAACCACCTCCCGTCCTCCATATAGTAATATGACAGACGCAGGTGGTTCTCTCGTTTCTGGGAGGATGTCATATGACGTCCTCCCATTCTAACCGCGCATGCGCGGCTTCCAGAGTGCGCAGCGCGGTGATCGGCGCCGCGCTGTGTCCCTCGGACACAGCGGATCACCGATCCACGGAAAGAGCCAAAGATGTTGGCTCGGTCATGTGATCAGCTGTGTCCAATCACAGCTGATCACATGTAAACAGGGAAATGCCGGTTATCGGCATTTCTCTCCCCACGAGCTGTCACGCTGACAGCTTGTGAGGAGAGGAGAGCTGGTAATCAGCATTCCTCGGAGGGAACATGTACACAGATCATCAGAGCACTGATTATCAGTGTGCCCTGATCATCTGTGTAGCCCCAGCAGTGCCACCTGTCAGTGTCCATCAGTGCCAGCTCTCAGTGCTCATCCATACCACCTGCCAGTGCCACATTTTTCAGTGCTCATCAATGCCACATATTAGTGTGTCACAATCATGCACGCAGAGATGGGCGCCGTCATCCATTCTGCTCCAAACATCTGCATTTTGGTATCTCTCCCCCAAAACAAATCAGTCTCCCTCCTCCGATTTCCCCCTCCCTAAGGAATGCGTTCAGCATACCTTGCTAAGGGGCTGTCTATACAATCCTCTTGCCAAATAAGGTATTGGCTTGTCTGTTTTAAGGAGATACAAGTTGATTTTGGGTAGAAAAAGAAGCTGTTATGCTTTGTGTGTAGTCAGAGAAGTGAGGACCGTCTGCGTTTTAGCATCTAGCAGACCGAGAGAAAGCAGAATCTCCTGCCATGTCCCAACAAAACTAGCAGTAGAGACAAGAAAGCAAATCATCCTGGAGCTCATAAGACTTGAAATTGCTTAACCCAAGGCTGATTGGCAAGTACTTTAACCCTTTAAACTTCTTTCTGTTATCGGTTTGCTGTGCTGTTGTAACATATATATATATCTATCTATCTATCTATATATATATATATATATATATATATATATATATATATATATATATATATAGAGCACATCTTTTTTCTGTAAATATTTCTACTGCACCCTTTTGACCTTTTTAGTAATAAATCTTACTTTCTGAAAGTGTTGAACTGTTTCTACAGCCCTTTAATGTGACTTACGAATCCCTGCCGCTGAAGAGCGCTACTATGAGTGTTTAACCCTCTGTAAAACCTGTCTGTTGAGATAGCGGGATACCGACGATTAACCAATCATCCTAGTGTATTGCTGATATTGCCGACTTTCCTCTTTCTCTGTACAAAAAGGGTGGTGGTAGTGTGAAGGGTTAATTGCATAATTAACCTGACCCAGTAACAATCGCTTCCAGGCTGCAGGTACACAGATTGTAGTCCATTAGCTGGAAAATCTTTGTGCAGGGTGCAGCTGGGCATGGTATTGTTACGCACGTGACATCACGGTTTTAGAGTGGCAAGTCCTTCGGTCACGAGTTTAGTGAGAAGGTCTGGGGTCTGATGCGCGATCGTCGCACAGTCCCCGTCTGTGCTTTCTTTCAGTGTCACCCATCAGTGCCAGTCAGTGCCACCTATCAGTGCTGCCAGTCAGTGCCGCCTATCAGTGCCAGTCAGTGCCGCCTATCAGTGCCAGTCAGTGCTGCCTATCAGTGCCATATGAGTGCTGCCTTTAAGTGCCCATCAGTGATGCCTGTCAATGCCCATCAGTGCCACCTACCAGTGCCTCCTCATCAGTGCCACTTCTGTGTCCATCAGTGCAGCCTCATTAGCACACATCAGTGAAGGAGAAAAATCACTTATTTACAACATTTTTTTCAAAATTTTCAGTAGTTTTTGGTTTAAGAAAAAATAAAAAACCCAGCGGTGAATAAATACCACCAAAATAAAGCTCTATCTGTCAATGATTTTAAAAAATGTTATAAGATTTTAAAAATGTCATATTGGTACAGTGTTGCATGACCGAGCAATTGTAATTCAAAGTGTAACAGCGCTGAAAGCTGGAAATTGGCCTGGGCAGGAAGGGGGTATAAGTGCCCTGTAGGCTAGTGGTTAATAACTGACATAGTACCAAAGGAGTGGCCTAAGGGCAATGTAGTGCCAGTATTTAACAAGGGGTAAAAATCTTTACCAAATAATTATAGACCTGTTAGTTTAACTTCTGTAGTTGGGAAGATACTGGAGAGTTTAATAAAAGACCACATAGATGTGTTCTTGCTGGGAAAAAAAAATTTAAGCAACACACAGCAAGGATTCATACAAGACAGAAGTTGTTAAACAAATCTGATTTTTTTTATGAGGGGGTGAGCAAAACCTTGGACAGAGGGGTGGCGGTGGACGTGGTATACTTGGATTTTTCAAAAGCATTTGACACAGTTCCCCAAAACATGTCTAAATGTAAGGTAAAGTCTACGGGCTTGGAAAAATCAGTATGTAAATGGATAGAAAACTGGCTAAAAGATCGTATTCAGAGAGTAGTGGTTAACGATTCATACTCTGAATGGTTTAGGGTTATCAGTGGTGTACGCCAAGGTTCAGTGTTGGAACCCTTACTTTTTAATACATGTATAAATGATATAGGGTCTGGGATTAAAAATCCCATTTCAGTCTTTGCAGATGACACCAAGCTGTGCAGTGGGATAACGTCCAGACAGGATGTCTCCAACTTACAAGCCGACCTCAATGCACTGTTTAATTGGGCAACTATGTGGCAAATGAGGTTTAATGTTGATAAATGTAAGGTTATGCACTTGGGAGCTAAGAATATGCATGCATCATACATACTAGGGGGGGTAACAACTGGGGGAATCAATGGTGGAATAGGATCTGGGAGTTCTGGTAGACCATAAGCTTAATAATAGTATGCAATGCCAAGCTGCGGTTTCTAAAGCGAGCAAAATCCTCTCTTATATAGGAGTTATAGACTCCAGAGAAAGAGATATCATATTACCACGGGACAAATCATTAGTAATACCTCATCTGAAATATGCAGTTCAATTTTCGACACCAATTCACCAAAAAAACATTGGGGAACTGGAGAAAGTACAGAGAAGACAAACTGATAGGAGGCATGGAGGAGCTCAGCTATGAGGAAAGATTAGAGGAACTGAATTTATTCTCTCTTGAGAAGAGGAGATTAAGGGGGGATATGATTAAAATGTATAAATACATTAGTGGTTCATATAGAACTCAGTGTTGAGATATTAACCCTGAGGTCATCACAGGAGGACAAGGGGGCACTCTTTACGTCTAGAGGAAAAGAAATGTAATCTCCTAACACGGAAAGGTTTCTTCACAGTGAGAGCTGTGAAAATGTGAAATAGACTCCCTCAAGAGTTGGTTCTGGCCAGCTCAGTGGATTGCTTTAAAAAAAAAGTCCTGGGTTCTTTCTTGGATACACAGAATATAACCGGATACTAATATTTATATGTAAAGTTGATCCAGGGAATATCCAATTGCCTCTCAGGGGATCAGGAAGGAATTTTTTTCCCCTGCAGGAGCAAATTGAATCCTACTTTGCTGGTTTTTTTTGCCTTCCTCTGGATCAACTGTGGGTGTAGGGTTATAACTTTTGGTTTTTTTTCTATGTTTGAACTGGATAAACTTTGATCTTTTTTCACCCAGACTAACTGTGTAACAAGTAAACAAATGAAATGACCCCTGTTCAAAAGTCTGCATACCCTTAGTTCCTAGTACTGCATATTGCCCCCTTTAGCATCAATGACAGTATGTAGTGTAATAGTTGTCCATGAGGTGGTATATCTGCCCATTCATCTTTGGAAAATGCCTACAGGTCATGTAAAGTCTTTAGTTGTCTTGCATGAACCACACGTTTTGGGATCTCCCCAGAGTGGCTTGGTTATCTAAGGTCAGGAGACTGTGATGACCATTCCACAAACTTCTTCGTGCACAAGAATGCAAATTGTCTGCCAGTATTTCCTCATAACATGCTGCATTCATCCTGCCATCACATTTCACAACATTCCTCGTGCCTTTACACTCACCCATCCCCCCCACCCCCAAAACATCCGTGAGCCATGATTCACAGTGGGGACGGTATTCTTGTCACTATAAGCCTTGTTGACCCGTCTCCAAACTTAACGTTTATGATTGTGACCATAAAGCTCTATTCTGGTCTTGTCATTTCAGATTTCAGTGTGCCAAAAGCTGTTAGGCATGTCAAGGTGTTGTCGGGCATATTGTAATAGGGCTACTTTGTGGCATTGGCACAGTAAAGGCTTCTTTCTGGTATCTCGACCATGCAGCTAATTTTTCTTCAAGTATCATTGTATTGTGCTCCTTGAAACAACCACACAGCCTTTTTCCAGAACAGTCTGTATTTCTCCTGAGGTTACTTGTGGGTTTTTCTTTGTATCTGAAACAATTCTTCTGGCAATTGTGGCTGCAATCTTTCTTGGTCTATCTGACCTTGGCTTGGAATAGTGATCCTCAAATTTTCCACTTTTTTTTTATAAGTAACTGAACAGTACTGACTGGCATAATTAAGGCTTTGGATTCCTTTTTACATCCTTTTCCATCTTCATAAAAGTTGTCTTACCTTGTTAAGCAGGCCTGTTGACAGTTCTTTTCTGCTCCCCATTGCTCCATATCTATCCTGAATACTATGAAAAATTAAAACCAAACGGGAACCATTGCAGGTTGAACACGTATGTTACTGTCGACTCACATCTAAAATAAAAAGTGGTGTCCTCTTCTGAACCAAAATATACCAGCTGAAAAATGTAGTTTGAAAAGAGATGCACACAAAAAAGAGGTCCCAACAGAGAGATAAAAACTGCTGCTTGAAGCTAATGGATGGATATAACAAACTTTATTAAAAATATGAAGGTATCAAAAGAGCAATTACCCCTTCACCCAACAAAAATTAAAAATAAATGACAACGTTGTCAAACAATAAAAACCAGCCTGGGCCACAGGCATACCAAGCACACATACATAGACATTCTTATATACCATGATAGAGTATAGCGCAAGATACTATTAAGTTGCCCAATACAAGTGATTATGCTAGAGCAACTGCACATGCACACTGAAAAGAGCAGGGAAATATCCCTATTTATATGGGCATCTCTGTGGCTGAATGCAAGTGGATTAAATGCTAGTATCACTGTCCATTCATCAATGGAGGTAAGGATCCATAGCCCGTATGACAAACTAGTATATAGCATGCTTGTATAGAGTCCTTCTTGCACAGAAAATCTATTGTTCACAGTTAATGGTTAGTGTCATACTGTGGCAGTGGTTTTAAGATAGCAAACAGGAGCAGTCCCCCTTCAGCTGGTGAGTAAGACAGGGCAAAGCATACAGTTAAGTCCATATATATATTTGGACACAGGCACAATTTTAATACTTTTGGCTCTGTATGTCACCAAAATAAATTAAAACAAAACAATCCAAATGTATATACACTTGCATATTTGAAGTGGGGTATTTATACCCACCTCCCCTGTACAAGTGTAGGTCTGTAAATTTGAATTTCAATTTTATTAAACTTTTAATGAATCTTATATTGTATTTTTTGTATATATTTTATGCACATTTATATGTAAAACTATGGTACTTTGTATGTGTGTGTGTATATATATATGTATATATATATATATATTACTTTAAAAGTATGGAGTAGAATTTAGAGTGGTAGTAGTTTACCACACTTAGCTAACAGGCAGAGGTAGCACATCAATTATATACATTAATAAACACATGGTCCAAGTTAGCAGGGTTTAGGCAACACAGGATACAGTGGACTGAAAAGTGCCAGTAGCATAGCAGATAATTTGTATCGGAATTTATCCAATAGACAGCGGGCTAAAGAAATATGGTGAGAGCACAACTGGTGGAGGTGAACACACATTGGTTTGAATACATTACATGAGGTGAACTAAGAAGCATTCCATTTCTACATAATAGTGGGTGGAAAAAAACACGGATCCTGCATGGACATTTATTTATTAGACTATGTGTTAGATGATTTAAGTTGTTTATTGATAGTGGAGCGTGGCACTACATTGTTATTTAATAATTAACACATTTGTATGTGTATGGTGTAAGCAATTCACAATTATTTACACAGTATTTATATTGTCTATAATATTATTTGGTATTTGCACTTAGAATAGCAGCTCACAAGATTTTTTCAGAGGAGAGTCGCCAAAATTTTACGATTTCTGCCAGGGTATGCAAACTTTTGAGCAGAACTGTAAACCTTCCCATTTTGTTTTATAGGTTAGGAACTTACTTTTCTGAATACAGCATCACATTTGCTTAAGTGTCTGGTCCCAAAATTTGGATTTAAAAATGGAATAAGGTATTTTATAAAAACTGGAAAACCCCTCTGCATAATGCTGTTGTCTCTCAACTCAAAGTATCTCAGTGATGTCAAGAGTTGAAGTAAACTGAATTTCCCCTTCATTTAACCCACAAACCAGATTATTGAACATAAGAAGGCAAGAGTCTTCAGGATGGTTTACTCAAATAGAAAAATAATTTCCCCTCTGCCCAATACATAAACCTCTGATTGCTGTTTTTCATCAGTTTGCCGGCTCTGCAGAGTAAAGTTATCATCTGTTTATGAAGTTGTAGTTATGGAAATAAAACTAGTTTTGACAGATATAAAATGTATTCTGCAAAAAAAAAATCTGGTTTCAATGTTCCTCATTCTCAAAAAATGAAGCCATGAGAGGGGGGAAGGGTTGTTTACTCAACACAGTTGCAGAGTTGGCATATTTTGGACATTTTCAGAAGAAAGAATAAAACAAAACAAAAG